GACCAACCCAATATCGGCAATGAGCTTTAGCTCGAGTTCCAGAAACGCCATCTCCCCTTCTTCGGGTCTGGCATTTTTGGTCAAAATCTTGCCATCCGGGAGTCCCCCATGCAGTGATGCAAAAATGCTCGAGCCTGTTCCTCCTTTTCCACCTCGTGCCACGACCACATACGAACCAGGTTGATCCAAGTCGGCCAGTGTCACTCTTTCCCGATCATCGTCCAAGTCTGTCTCTTGATCCTCATCATGATTATGGTCAAAATCGTCGGAAAAGTCTCGATTCAGAGCGTCCCAGTCCGAAAATCCAATCATTTCTGGATCCAGGCCATGGGTGGTTTGTAGATCCTCAGCTTCATCTTCACTGTCATCGTCGTCACTACTAAATTCTGATGAAAAATCATAATCAGCTTCTGTATCCTCTCCAAATAATTTTTGCACTTGTCGTGTCTCTGGATTCCATGTTTCACTGTAAGCCAGAACTCGTTTCACCACCACACCACAGGGCACCCGGACAATGGTATTTTTTCCTTTTCGACCGTGTTTTTCTTGGCTTGAGCCGTTGGTGCCGGATGCGGCTGTCACGTGTGGATTGGACATGCGCAAGGATTGTGTCTTGGGGTCGGCAAAAAGAATGACACTTCCGCCATCTCCGCCGTGGCCACCGTCGGGTCGGACTTTGCGTTTGCGGCCGATGCGTAGCAGCGACAGCGATCCTTTGCCGCCTTCACCCCCTCTGGTTCTCATGCGGAGTTTGTCCACAAATCGATAACTTGGTTTGGCACTCGTACCAGCTCTCTTTTTCTTGTTGTTTCGACCGGATGATGATGGGCCACTCAAATCGAGAAAGAGACTACTACTACTCAAACATCGTTGCTGTTGTTGTGGTGCCAGATAGGCAACGCTGGGAGAGCACGAATGTAGCGGTCTAATCAGGTGTTGACATGCTGCTGCTTTGATGAGCCGATGGCTAAGAGTGCTCATGGTTGTGGTTGTGGTTGGGTTTGTGTTGGAGCCAAGCAAGTCGAACAGATCTTTGTCCGACAGAGACACCAGCCTCGATCTGTGATGTCGGCAACGACATGTCGCAAGCTGGCTGTTTCAGGTTTCCGGTGCCATGTCTCCTTTTCTCAAGTAAGATGTATGACGTCAGCCTCGTGCGGACGAAGATATTTGGTTCTCGGAATGCTTTTTTCGCGCTAATCCTCACAATTTCCAACTAGTTGTTCTATTTTTTGCCAACTACATTATTTCTTTTGCCACCAAAACTAATCAACAACCATGGTAGCTTCCTTTGAACCATGCCGCGTAAGTTTCGTCAAGAAGCAGTGAAACATCTGCTCCTCTCTTTTAAGCTAACCTTCTTCTTTCCTCCTTCTTCTTCTTTTGGGACAGACCAAAATGGAAAAAGAAGGCATTGCGTCTTCTGCCGTTTCCGCCTTTGAATCGACATTCAAGGCATTGGTTTCGGGAGACTCTGGGATGATTGCCGAGTCCACCATTGCTCCGGTCTATGATTTGGCCAAATCGGAAGAATTCACTGCCAAACCCGATACATCCCTGTTGGCCAAAACCGTCGTACTCAAGCTCAATGGCGGCCTGGGAACCGGCATGGGACTCGATAAAGCCAAATCGTTGCTCCAAGTCAAAGGCGAGGAATCCTTTTTGGATTTGACCGCCAAACAAGTCATTCAAATGCGCAAAGATTACGGCATGAAAGTCAAATTCATGCTCATGAATTCTTTCAGTACGAGTGCCGATACGCTCCAATTTTTTCAAACCAAATACCCCGATTTGGCAGCCGAAGACGGTCTGGAAATGATGCAAAACAAGGTCCCCAAATTGGATGCCACCACCTTTGAACCGGCGACTTGTCCTTCGAATCCCGACAATGAATGGTGTCCTCCGGGTCATGGAGATTTATATGCGGCATTGGTGGGATCTGGGCGTCTCGATGCTCTTTTGAAGGATGGATTCCAGTACATGTTTGTTTCCAACTCGGATAACCTCGGTGCCAGTTTGGATTTGGATATTTTGACCTATTTTGCATCCAAAGATGCTCCCTTTGTGATGGAGTGCTGTGAGCGAACTGAAAATGACAAGAAGGTATGTTCTACTAAAGGAAGCAGCAAGCAAGAAGAAACGGTTGTGTGTTGGCAGGATAGAATCTTGACAACTCAACTTTTTGCCGTTCTCTGCTGCTTCTACAAATAATCTATTCTACAGGGAGGTCACTTGTGCATGCGCAAAAAAGACAATCAACTCATTCTTCGAGAATCTGCCATGTGCCCCGACGAAGATGAACCCTCCTTCCAGGATATTTCCAAACATCGATTCTTCAACACAAACAACCTCTGGGTCAGACTGGACAAACTAAAAGAAATCATTGACAAGAATGGGGGTTTCATCCCACTCCCCATGATCAAGAACAAAAAGACTGTGGATCCCAAGGATGATTCATCCCAAAAGGTTGTGCAGTTGGAAACCGCCATGGGTGCCGCCATTGAATGTTTTGACGGAGCCACGGCTATTGTGGTGCCTCGCACACGATTTGCACCCGTCAAAAAGTGCAACGATCTCTTCCTGCTCCGTTCGGATGCCTACATTATGAAAAACCACAAGCCCGTGCTCAATCCATTGTGCAACGGTGTGGCTCCCATCATTAGTCTAGACAGCAAAAAGTACAAAATGGTGGGTGCACTGGAGGATGCCACGGAAGATGGCATCCCGTCGTTGGTCAAGTGCAAGCGTCTGACGGTCAAGGGGCTGGTCAAAATGTCTGGCAAGACCGCCTTTGTGGGGGATGTCTCCATTGTGAACAACAGCCCCGAAGCCAAGTATGTCCCCTTTGGTATTATATCGGGTGAACATGACTTGACAAACAGCACCTTCCAGCCAGTGGATCCATGCTTGAAATGTATCATTTTGTAGACAGACTGGCCCACTGCGTTGAAAAGAGTATCTTTGTGTTGTCATTGCTGCCTAATAGAAAAAGAAGTGCAGTGGTTATCATTGCATATGCTATGAGATTGGCATCATTTTCCAAGTACTACTAATATGTATGTTTGTTTACTGATGATTTCTGAATCCTTCCGGGTTCTGTGTGGTCTGATGGGCGTTTAGTGACGCCCTTGATCTTGGTGGCTGATAAACAGGATGGGTCATGATGTTTGGCTTGGAGGTGATACTAGCTAGAACGGGGAACAAGTTGCAGTGAACGTGACAACATTGTTGCTGATTTTGACCATGGAAAAGGGATAGCTTCTTGTTGTACTAGCGAAAGCTTGGACACCATTTTCAGTGAGGCCATATCCAACCAGAAGCAACAGGATTGGCACGACGCATTGTTCCCATAGCGGCTTGAGCGTATGATGGTCAAATCGATGTGGATTCCCTGAACCAAGTCCTTGAGCCTGTCTTTCCTCCCCCTATTATGGATCTCTGGCTAGCTAGAGCTAGCTTGCCATAATCTTATCTTACGGGAGACTGACTCGACTCGATTCACTCCAAGAACGACGTGTTAACAGTGCAGCTGGATTAAGAGCAAGGAGGTCCGCGGCACCAGATGTTGGCGTTGGATTGAAGTTGTGGGGGTAGCAGATAAATTGTCTTTCCAAACCGTTTTTATTTCCCATGAGTACCGGATCAAAATTGTCCTTATTCCCCAAATTCATTGCCGCTGGAGGCTCATTCATTCGACGACCTCTCATTGATTCCATCAATCCATCCGAGAGATCAGAGCCAACACAAACTGCATCAACCGCTCCACCAATACAAACTCTTAGCTCGACAAGGAAACGTTGACGACAACCACAGTAGTAGCTACTGGTAGCTACCTAGCTAGTTAGTGGGGCGGTATTTGTTCTGCGGAGTGAAGTTTGATGAATTCGGGTTAACTGTGAAATAAGTTCCCAAAAGCTAGCTAGAGTAACGGCAACTGAAAGTCATCCACCCAGACGAGATCAAGAGGATGGTCAAGATCACAGCAATACCGAGGACTCGTCTCCTCCTCTTGATGTCCATATGGATCTCTGTTGTGGCATGTCAGGAGATCACTGATTCCTACCCAACAGAAAGAACCCTGGAAGATACTACTACCTCCAACAATGAGTCCACCACGATGAATGCCCATGCCCATGCCCATGCACATGCACCTCGGCAGCATCACCATCCTCATCACGGAACCTCCCTCCATGGACACAATAATAATAATAGTCCAGCAAGAAGCAGGAGATCCACAACAGGCATTCATGTGCTACCCCCATCGCCGGATGATACCCCTGAAGCATGTCCCGCGAATTCCACCTTTCATGCTTCTTGTGGAGCCGAGAGGTATTGTGCCTCGTTACCGGGGACTCATCATGATAACCACCACGACGACGACAACAACCAGAATAATACCAATCACTCTCTGTGGTTCGAGTGGGACAATACTATTCCCTACAATGCTGACGAAACCTACTACTATTGTCTTCACAAGACACTCTGGTTCCCAACCTTGTCGCCCCAAGATTTGCTCGCCTTTTTGCTGGCAGGAACGTGCTGCTTTTTGGCTGCCATGGCAGGAATCGGTGGAGGAGGCCTCATATTGCCCATTCTACTCTTGTGTTGCAACTTTACTCCCAAAGAAGCATCGGTACTGTCCAATACCGCCGTCTTTTGCAATACCTTGGGACAATTTGTCATCAACAATTGCTGCAACAACAACCGTAACAACCATAACAACAATCCGTCCATTCTCATTTTTGCCACGGTCTTGATGATTATGCCTCCTGTCATTGCCGGAGGGAGTGTCGCCATTACACTGGAAGGAATGGTACCCTCCACTGTCATTCTCCTTTTGGCGTTGGTGACCTTGTTGCTGGCCACCACCAAAACGTACCACAAAGCCCGGAAAATGAGACTTGCCGAACAGGAAGAATTTGAGTTGTTGACGGTAGAAGAAACACAACCACCACCACTTGCAGCAAGCCAATCCGAGGTAATGACGACGATGATGATGCCACTCGAAATGGAAATCAATAATGACCAGCAAGAACCGAGACAAGACGACGCATTGTTGGCATCGGCATTGGATTGGGGAGGCGATCGTCCGGCTACAATGAGGGATATCGCTGTTTCGCCGGGCAGTCGCAAGAGTATGGAACTGCTGGATGCTGTCAACTCGGAAAATCACGACATCTTGGAAGAAACATTCTTAGGATCCATTCGATATCTCAGCAAGGACGAAGAAGACAACAGTGAAGTACTCATTGTCGATGAGAGTTCGTTGGCCACATCATCGCAGTCGAGTACCCCCACCAATGGACATAGCCGAAAAATGGCCACGGAAAACACGGCAGAAACCCAAGAGGTGGATGAGGAGGAAGGACTTCCAGCATCCGCACCCGTGATATCTGAAAGCGTACAACAATCATCTGACGACGAGGAATGCCCAAATGGACTCTGCAACCGCATGATGCATCACAAATTGCAACTACTGATTGGAGGTTTTTGGGTTTTGGATGCCGTCACGTTTCTCTTGCTGCACGCTGGAACCTTGATTCCGAAATGCTCGCCAGCCTTTGTGGTGCTGGTGTGCTTCCCAGCCCTGGTGGCAGCTGTTTTTGTGGGGTTGGGCCGAAGTCAATTGTTGTCCATTCAGCAGCAAGCCACAGCTGCAGCATTGCCGTCTTCCTACCGAACCGACGACGATCAACGGCCACTACTGGCTGCCTCGTTCGACGACGAAGAGGAGGAAGAGCCAGATGCCAATGGGCAAACGATGGACGAATCACCACAACAACAATCAGCAACCGAACCTACGAGCAACGGGATGATGTCTCTTGTGACTAGTTTCTTCAAAAGAATGAGACGCCAACGGGCATTGCGAGTCTTGACTCGACAAGACTCGCCGTCGGGTCGCCGTCCACTTCTCTCCTCGAGAAGTTTCAGTAGTGTCGATGAAGATGCTGACCAAGACGAAGAAGTGGTGGCACATCACGACAATTTCCAGTCTCTCTTGGCATGGTGGCTGCCTTGGGCATGCATTGTGATTGGTCTCTTGTCCGCGTTGCTTGGGATTGGTGGAGGAGAATTGCTGGGACCAATCTTGCTGCTTCTTCTCAAGATGGATCCACAACAGAGCAGTGCCACCACAGCCATCATGTCCATGATGAACAGTGGAACCAATCTGATGCACTACATTGTGGCAGACATGATGATTGCACCAGGTTATGCAATCAACTTGGGCATGGCGGGCCTTGTTGGAGGCGTCGGGGGACGACTGTGGGCAATGAGTATGGCTCAAAGGGGACGTCCGAGTGTCATTGCACTGAGTTTGACTGGAGTGTTGGCCCTGGCCACAGCCTTGGTTGCATGGGAACTGTTGACAACGCCTCTGTCACTAAAGAGCAGTGGCGGCGTTTGTTGAGATATTTCCAGGCGTTCTACCAGTACTCTGATTGTACATCGACATACGTAGTTTACATGCTTTAATAGACATCATACATATCGTTACGTTTGAGCGGCTAGGTTCTTGCCTACCGGTATATATCTTTTTCGTGGTGGCATGCCACATGTACATGCCACACCTGCTCTTCATTTTAGGCCAACGTGGGGTGCCAGACTCTTTGAGCGCAAACCGCCACCGGCACGCTGTAGTGAACTCCGTGCGGCGGGTCAGGCTGACCACCCCTTGCGGGAAGTTCGTGCTGCATGGCTCTGCATGGGAAAACGACCTGTCAGACAAGAAGTTTTCCCCTGGCTATGGGTGCAGCAGTTGAAAGAGAAGCTGCCCGGACGACAGGAAACAAATAACTCTTCTATTGAATAGCGACCGAGTTTATCTAAAAGTTATTTTGCTTGTAGCTAGTTTTCCAAAAAGTCGGCTACCCAGTCAATCTATAGCAGTGCCAGATCATCCCAAGCCATTAACCACTTTTTGTTCTCGTCCATGTCATCAGTTGTGTGAAACGAGTCGTCAAACATCCCCATGTGCGCTGGCTCGGACACTACTGACCTCGTGTCATGGTAGTGATGATGGTCACTGGTAAGTCCCATCGAGTCAAAGGAGGGTCCCTCGCTTACTACAATATATGGATCCTCCTTTCCTTGTTGATCCCACACAACGTACAGGTTGGAGCCAAAGGATTTTGAATCCATTTCATCATCATAGTCCTCTTTCAAATTGCACCAAGCCTCGGCAATCGCATCGGAAGCTGAATTCGTTGTGTCGGGTGTTTCACTGGCAGTGGGTGCATCCGTGGCGGGTGCATCCACACCAGTTCCCTTCCACAGAATTTCAAAATTCTTCTCCGTATCTTCTGCGGTGCTTCCAGGCGGATCCTTCCACCAGTCATAGGACTGGATGGCCGTTTTCTTTGTATCGACTTCGTCCTCCATGCTCACTATACGACGTGGTTCTGGAGCTGTTTGTGTTCGTCGGAGTGGGGCCTTTTTTGCTGCCTTTCGAGCAATCTCCCGAAGCTCTTCTTCTTCCCGTCGTGACGCATCAAGGAGCGCTTCCTGGGCACATTCCGCCAGGATGCCTCCTCGAATTCCCTGCTGCCGTGCCCCCAGTGCCGGCAACGACTGTCGTCGTCGGTGATTGTCGAGTTCGGACATGCTGGCACTGTTTCTAGCAAACGCAGCGGCGGCGGCTTTGTCGCGCGGACGACTGTTGTTGCCATGGTTGTACTCCAACGAGCTCATGCTGGCCGCGTTCCGATTATTTTGGGAATCATCCTCCAATCCAGATATATCCAAGGACGATTGACTGTCCCCGCGTCCCTCCGTGATTTTGGGCACCGACGACAATCGTGGCGGAGAAAGACTGGTTTGGGACAAATCCAAGTGAGTGGTCAATTGACTGACATCACTCGTGTTACTGTCCCGTTTTCCGTCTTGCACGTGTTCCTCTTCGTCAGGTCCATTGGGATCCCATGTGGGCGCATCAATCGACTGGCGACGAGGCGGGTCATGTTTCTTATTGTTGTTGGTGTTGTTCCGTGGTGGAACGTAAATGGAAGATTGACTGGGTGTCGTACTGAGCTTATTGTTGCTGTTGGAGAACAACGACGACGATTGGCTGGTGGCACTTTTGGAAAAGAGACTGCCGAAACGACCCGCTGTGGACGACGTGTTGGAATGCTTTCGGACCTTTGGAATGTCCAAGAGATTACTTGGATCATCATCCAACCCGTAAAAGGAACTACCAAAACTAGGATCGACCCCCCGACCTTTAGACGCAGGTCGACTGCTGCGCATGGACTCGTCCATGTGTTCCGATTCCTCTTCAACTTCTTCGAGACATTCCAATCGAACCATTCCTTTGTTGTTTTGTGGGAATACCCGATGCGTGCCTGGAACGAAACTACCGCTATCGTGACTGCCGTCATGACTGGCATGATCATCGTCATCATCATCGTCTGTTTCAAACCAATATCGAAATCGCGTTCCTTCGGGATCTTGTTTTTGTCCATTTTGTCGTTTGGCAAACGATCGTCGCTTGTGGGATGTCAGTACGGCATCGTGATGGGTGGTGCGTCGTGTCTCTAGTTTGTTGCTGCTATTGAGTAATTCCTGGACACTGTAATAATTGTTGCTGTCGGCATTGTCATCATCATCATCATCATCGTCGTGGATGGTTTCTTCATCCGTTTCGGCACTACCGGTGGACATGGCAATCAATGATTTGGGCATGGTAATCATCGTTCCACCTTCCTGGGGCGTTGATGTATCCAAGGAGCGGGCAATGGTATCAATGGAGAGTCCGGATATTTGTTGTACGAGAATACTGCCTCGACTGTGTGGCAAGTGCATTTGGACGTGTCGTGGGACATAGGAGGAGGATTGTTGTTTGCGTAGTGGATTGTTATTGTTGTGTTGACCACTGCGAATGGTATGTTCGTCGTCGTCGAGAATGCTTTGACCGATATTACTGCCACCAGCGACGGAGGAGAGTCCCTTGGTGCGAGTTTGTTTGATGAGGAGTGGTTGATTGGAGTGAACATCATTTCGTGTGGATCGAAAGGACGAGTAGGTGGATGATGGAGGAGGATGATTGGTACTGTCAAAATTGGAAAATTCCTCGGATGGTTGGCGAAAGTTGCCGGAATTGGAATTGAAAGTGGTGGAATTTTCCAACTGAGATTCGAGGTGTCGGGATCCTCGATTGACAGTTCGTCTTTTTTGTGCCTTGGCCAATTGTTGTTTGAGTTGTACATCAGCCGGTAACTTGGAATGGCCGCGATACACCATGTTGGAAGATAACGTTGAAGATCCCTCACTGTCTTGTGATGACGCAGGATGCACCAGATCTATGGGCTCTTTGCGATGTGGCAACCACAATCTCCATTTGCGTTTTTTCTTTTTCGGTTTGGTTTGGGATTTTCGGGGTTGCAGCGGTGGTTGTGTAGATCCAGTAGATTGATAGGTGTTGTTGTGACTGCTCCTCAAAGAAGTGTCAGCTTGGTCCCCCTGTTCAGAGGTATCCAACCCATTGTCGTCACTGGAGTAGGTTGGAATTCCCGTTTGTAGGTAATTGTTTTGCTCTTGTTGCTGCTGTTCCATGAGTTCCAAGTTCTTTCGTTGCAATACTTGCTGTCGATCATTATTGTGTCCGAAAAAGGGAAATCCAAATTTGGTGGTTGCTTGCATTGTCTGTATGGGACTTTTGGTCTCGTCCATTACCCACTGCATCAATTGATTGCCTCCTCCCCGTTGGCGTCTCATACTACGCGACGCTTCACATCTCATGGACAGCAATTGATTGGCGCGTTGCAATTGATAATGGTCTCGCTGCAATGGACAACCATCTACCAGATTCTGTGCCAAGTCATGATGATGTTGGAACAGACTGCGCATCCGATGGCCGACTCCTCTTCCATGATTACTTGTTGATGGTGTAGTAGGTGTCGTCGGATACTCCAACTCGCGTCGTCCACTGCTATCTCGAGCATCATCACTACTATTGCGACGACCGCCACCACCAAATCGCAGCGATTCCCAAAATTTCATCGACTGCAGTAAATGCTGCGATCCGGCGCGAATACTCTTGTGTTGGGCCAATTGACGACGCACGGCCGCTCCGTCGAATCGTCCACTTCCCACCCATAGTGTGTCTTCCACTTCTTCTCCCGCGTCCAACGCTCGCTCCGCCGCCAACGATGTCTTGGCGTTGGTAAACGCAATCATCTCTTAGTAGCTCAATTCTCAGTCTCAGTATTCTATCTATCTCAGTATTCTATCTATCATAGACTATACTAGTAGATAGATATCTATCTATCAGTCTATCGATAGTAGTGATAGTAGTGAATAAACACAAAACACAACGATACAAGGAAGTAATGGGATTGATTTGTGGCAACCACGCAAGACAAAGAAGACGAAGCTCTTCTATTCCGGAATAAACAATGAGGCTCATGCTCTGCTGGCCGTTGTTGAAATCTTGGACCATTATTTTTTGCGACATCATCGTCGCGAATATTCCCAGCCATGTGTGTCACAACAACCCAGCAAACATAGATCTAACAGATAACCAGTAGAAATCGTTAAATCTCCTGTTCGCGCAGCAAAATCGGACTTATTTGCGTTCTTGTTGGCTGGTTGGTTCTACCGTATGAGCTGTCGCGTGGGTTGGACGAACTGTTGGATGGGACCAACAACCGACCCACCCTCCTGCTTCGTTGGTTGGGATCCTACACAGCATACTACATGTATTCTAAAGGTAGATATTGAGATTTGACTCGCAACAATATAACTGGGGCCTGATGCTCTACGTATTGAGCTACCGGTACCATGGTTACCTCTGGAGAGGATGATGCGTGCCTCCAAACAGTGCAACCAAACAATAGCAAAGCTCCCCGCAGAACCAACTTCCTAAAAGATATCCACTAATGTAGAAATCCCAACAAAGAAAATTGAACCCTGATTCCTTCATTCAGAGTGCAGAATTATACCAGTAGACCATACCGGAGAATTCACTTGGAAATAAGGAGGTGCCCATGTTCCAATGCATGGAGTCCTGTGAACCTGGACAGCCCAGTCCCAAACTTGGCCTCCTACAATTGGAAAATACATTGGCTATGATCCAGCACAGGGAATTGAACCCTGACCCCTGCATTCAAAGTGGAGTGTCCTACTATTAGACCATGCTGGAGAGAAGTGAAGATATGGACGAGACTTGAACTCGTGACTTTCAGATTCATAATCTGATGCTCTGCCTTCTGAGCTACCATATCAGTTTTGGGAGGAAGTATGGGCAGGAATTGAACCTGCACCCTTCAGGTCCGGGGCCTGATGCTCCACCATTGAGCTACCATACCAAGGATTCCAGCACAGGGAATTGAACCCTGACTCCTGCATTCAGAGTGCAGTGTCCTACCATTAGACCATGCTGGAAGAAGTGAGATATGGACGAGACTTGAACTCGTGACTTTCAGATTCGTAATCTGATGCTCTGCCTTCTGAGCTACCATATCAGTTTTGGGAGGAAGTATGGGCAGGAATTGAACCTGCACCCTTCAGGTCCGGGGCCTGATGCTCCACCATTGAGCTACCATACCAAGGATTCCAGCACAGGGAATTGAACCCTGACCCCTGCATCCGGATTGCAGTGTCCTCCCATTAGACTATGCTGGATAGAGGACGTGAAGATATGGACGAGACTTGAACTCGTGACTTTCAGATTCGTAATCTGATGCTCTGCCTTCTGAGCTACCATACCAAGCAACCCATACTGGGAATTGAACCCAGATGTTCCGGATGAAAGCCAGTCCATTGGAATATATGGGTGAAAGTGTGGGAAGGAATTGAACCTTCAACTCACAAGCTGCAAGTGGTTGCTCTGCCACTGAGCTACCACACCTGTTTTGTTGTTTCCTCTGTTGCTGTTAGTCTTGGGCTTGTTTTCCCTTATAGAAGGTGGGAAGGAGGGCAGGTTGCTCCTTTTCTCCTCGTTGAAGTATCACAGGGATGCGGGGATGAAACACGTCTGGGAAGTTACGGAGGACGTGGATCAACTTTTCCCCAATTATTTCGACGGGTTTTGAAAAAAATGTAATAAAAAGGACTGGAATTGAAACTTGTCGAGCAGCCGCACGCAAAAGAGGACAACGATCCTGATCCCTATCCTTCCACGCAAACCTGAACCCTCATGGGTTCTTCGACGAATGACTCGACTCACAGTTGCCAAACTGTACCATCTCACAATACA